AAACAATCAACCCCACCCGGAAAAAACCAGAATATCTTGTGTGAAACATTGAAATTCAAAGAAAAGATCAAAAAAGAACACAGACACACAGTGAAAAACAGGTTAGTGACTAGAACATCAAAACATTAAAATGTCAAAAAATAATCAAAACAAGTAAATAACAAGGCTAAAACTAACAGTCTTCCTTTGTTGGAATCTAGTTACAGAGTTTTAAAGAGGCATATCTATTGATATAAATCACAAAATGGCAGCTCACAGGTAAAATCGCTTGCAGAAGTGTTTGCTAGCAGAGCTTTTTTTTTTTAAATCAAGTTACAAAATCACATATCTTTTTCAGAACCCAGTTTTTTCTGTGTTTCTTAAAAAAAAAAAAAAAACAGCATAGCAATGAGCTGGAGCTCAGTAATTGATGTGCTCAATTGTATAAGTCTTTCTAGTTTGCCACCAGTTTTACTCACTTTATTTTTACTCATTGACATTGGGTTGGCCAAGAAGTTCGTTTGGGATTTTCTGTAACGTTATGGAAAAACCTAAACATTTTGGCCAACCCAATACATTACCAGCCTGCCCCCTGTAGTCAGGTGAGTTCATAAGCCCTTATGCACCATCAAACTAACTCAAGTCATGAAAGTGATCAATTGCAGAAAGGACTGCAAGATTGGGGATCATCAGGGAGCTTCATTTGTTCACTCACTCATTCGTTCATTCAACAAATACACGTTCATTTCAAAAGTGCCAGATACTGAGCTCAAATCAGCATATAAGTATTTGGGATTTCTTTGCATCAAGATAATAGGCAGTCATAGATCTGGATGTGTACCAAGACGTATGTGATAGAGCTGAGGACAAAACAATGGTGAATTTTAGGAAATGAAATAAGAAATTCTAAAACGTGCTAGCAATTTGCTAATAATTGCAAGGGTTTCAAAGGATGGGCATTCTAAAGAAGGAAGGGGTGGTCAACAGTGTAAAACTATGGCTGAGCAGTGATGTTAAATGAAGACAGAAAAGCAAGACAATTCTATGATGTAAGTAGCAAACCCCTGGTGATGTTTAAGAGGGCACACATAGAGTAGGCTGATAAAGCCAGGGTGAGTGGTGAGAAGATAAGCATAAAGGGCATGAGAAAGAGGGATGGAGGTAGGTTGGGGGGGTAGGTATGATGGAAAATGGTGAGGGTGGGGTGAAGAGAAGGCCAGTGAAGAGGACTGAATATGTGCAAAAGAGAGATTTGGCACCAGACAGTTCACAAGAATAACCATATGCTAGAATGAATTCAATCTAGATGTAATACCATTAACTTAAATTTTGATATCAGAGCAAAATTTAGTAACTTTTCTGTAAACCATATTCCCAAGTTCACTTCCTGAGACACATTCTGGGAAGGTGTTTTCACTCTAAACCTTTCTTTAGTTAGCACCAAAATTCACTGACAATAAGCTACAAAAGAAAATCTGTCAATTCTCAATTATGTTTTATTTTCTGGTGTTCCACTTGTGATATCAATCAGAAATGACTGAAATGCTTCTGGTTCTTTGGCTCTGCTGGAAATGACATTTTCTACAGAGGCATCTAATCTTGGACCAATGAAATCAGGTGATATTATTCTCCAGAATCCTCTACATATATAATAATCAAGAGAGAAAGATTAAAGTACAAATGGTATGTAAAATGCCTTTTGAGCCCATCCACAGTGAAGCTGGATGTGATTTACCTTCACCTGCACCTCCTCTTCCACCTCCACTACCGTAACTAGTGATGAAAACCACCACCCAGAGGTGAATCCCAGAAAGGCTTCATTGCCTTTTGATGTACTGTTTGTACAATCAGGTTTGGAGACGTCAAAATTCTCAACCAATCATCTTCCTATGATTCCGAGTAAAACGGTCGTACAAAATAAGCTTAGCAGAGACTTCTCCCGCTCTTTTAGAGTCTTTATAGAGATTATAATTAAAGAGAATGTTTCCTATTGATATAAAATTATATAAAATGATTGATTACAGATGTTAACCGCTCAATTCCATAGCCTACCCAAATAGATTCTAAGTCCAGCTGGAAATAAATAAAATTGATCGGCAAGGGTCTGTGTCGGACGGTAGAATAAGCAGGAAACACCCTATTGTGCTAGAAGCTCAATATGTAAGACAAATTTATGTAGCATTCAACCAAAATCTTTGTAACATGTCATCTACTTACCCCTGCAAGGCTTTCTCTCCAAACCAATCTCCTTTCCCTAAGGTTCTAAGAAAGACTGGGTCTTCACTTGGCGAGTCTTCACGAGTGACATTTACCTAGAAAGAGAAACAATGAAAGCCTGTATCCACGGCATACACACTGGATGATCAAATAAACACTGGTTAATGATGTTCGTTCCATTTCTTTTTTTTTTTTTAAACTTATTTTCAGGAAGAGAAAAAGTACATTACCACTAAAGGGGACAAAGAATAATATTGCAACTTCACATGCACCCCCAGAAGTAATCTCCATGTATTTTGTTATGCTTTCAAGTCGTTGTCAAGAAATAATAAATTATTCAGAAATCTGAATTTCACTCAAGTCTTCAACTCTATTCCCACTTCCAACTTTCTATGAGGCAATGACTATGATGGATTTAGTAGTGTTCCTCCAGTCTTTTTTTATGTGTTTATATGCATGTGTTTGAAAAATATATGAATAGCATAATACAGTATGAATCATTCCGTGACTTACATTTTTTTCTCTTATCATTATTTTATTTATTCCATGCTATTATATATAAATCTAGTTCATTCGTTTTAATGTTTTAGTGTCTTCTTTCATCCTATATTTATCAATTTCCTTGCAGATGGACGTTTATACTGTCTCCATGTTTTGGCTTCGCTTAACATCTTTCTATACACCTCTCTACACATACATCCCAGTTTCACTAGGACATGCCTATCTCTTTGCCAAGAAGCAGCCAGCCTTCATTCAAAGGCCAGTCACATTTCCATGAAGACTTCCTGCAGGTCTCTACATGACTACTGTCCTCATGATCCATATGCTTCACCCAGCAGGATTTTTTTTTTGAAGATACATAAATTACATATGTGTCTTTATTTTACCATAATGAACAGTATGCTCTTCAAAGAAATGGGCATTTCTTTGATATTCGCTGTAATTTATAGTAAGTACTCAATAAAGAGTAGTAAACTGCATGAACAGAAGAGCTTCATTACTAACAAGATACCTCCGCCCATATAGGACTTGGGAGTTGGGTGATAGTCCATTGAAAGCAAGTAATAATGTATTTGTTGAATGAAGACATAAATGTAGTAAATTGTACCTTTGTGTTAATTCACTTCCCCCTAAAGTTCTACAAATATATTACTGGCTACGTGTCATCTAAAAAGTTTAAATAGTTAAAATTCACCTACCTGGAAAATGTAATGAAGTAGAAAAACTAATTTCTTGAGACAATGCCAGACACTTAAACACATTTAAAAATACTATGCTTCAAGTTTCTGAATTTAGAGACTGGATGTCAAAGACAGGAATTTTTATAAGTATTAAAAAGGTCTATGCAAGGTGGAGGGAATTCAATTATTACTCTCCACTGACCCATTTGATTACTCCTCCACAGGGTGTTTCAAAAGCATGGAAATGCAGTTTTTAACGCTTAACCACTGAGCTATGTAAGAGAGATACTCATATGCATACTGATGAGGCTTTCACAGATGTGAATGGAAATATACTAGTCCAGTGGTTCTCAAACTGTGTGTGTGTGTGTGTGTGTGGTGGGGAGAGGGGGGCATGCAGTCTTGTTTAAAATAAAGGTTACTGAACTCTTATTCCTGAGGTTTTGATTCAATGGGTTTTGGAAATCTGCATTTCAAAAGATTAATGTGGGTGATTTAGATGCAAATGTTCTACAGACCAACCTTTGACAAACACTGATAACTGTTTCATTTCTGAACCTCAGTTTTCTTATCTGCACAATGAGACAACTCAACAAAATTACTTTTGTCAGTCCTCCTGGCTGATTAAAAAAAAGTCATTGATTAACTTAACTATAAGTTAAGCTCATTAATTCAAATTAGATATAAGGATACATATAACTGTACATTTGCCATTTGGGTAACAAAAAAGATTATAAACTCAAAATGGCAGATTTATGCAAGCCATGGAGAAATTTGGGTGGGTTCTGAAATGTTCTTAAAAAATATGTTACTGAAATGCAGTAAAGACATAAAAAATGGGTCACCTATGGAATAAATCACATTCTGCTTATATGATAAATATGAGGAAAAATCTATCTCCTATAGTTCCTATATGTGAAAAAACAAGCAGCTCAAAAAGCAAGAATAAAAGTTCTCCTTTAAAGTTGTAGTTTCCACAGTTTTTCTTTATATATATAATGAATCATTCTAAATATGCACAGACACCAGTCATGGACATTTGCATCTTTAATTCTAAAAAAAAAAAATTCAAGGTAGAAAAAGTTATATATACAGATATAGCTTCTCTAACCTTGACCTGTATACATTGTCTTTTCACCTACACCATAAAGTACTTTATGATCCACAATGCTGTGGAAGGGAACTAGCTATGGAGCCTTAAAGGTAATATTTAGTCTATTTGAACCCATTACCCCACCACCTTGCCCGAAAAATGGGAGGGATATTTCATATGGATGTACTTGTGCGCTACGTGTGAATTAAATGAGATCAGTGAAAAGCATCCTGTTAATTCTGAGTGCCCCCCAAAGTTGGTTCTTTTTTCCTTATTTTCTCCTTTGTTCCATTTCTCTCACTTCCTACTTCAGAAATTCCATGCATTTGATTGCAATTATCCCAAATCTCTACCACTGCTCTTGTTGCCATAAAATGCTATTTAGAACTTTAACTACTTTTAGTTTCAGGTAGATAAAAGAGAAGGTGTTTATTTTTATAATCCTTTTAGTTGTCTATATATTAATTTTTCTATAAAATATATGCATGGTATTGTAATTTTAAGATTTGGAACTATTTTTAAAATTTTATATATATATATATATATATATATATATATACATAATTTTTAAAATTAAGAATCAAAATAGAAATTAGATATTTTAAATGGGACATATAAAATTAACCTTTAATACCAAAATCTTCAATAAACAATATCAATGTGCTCAACCAACATGTTTAACCAAAAATAATTCAAAAACAAAATAAAATGTTTTAGTACAGATTCAACAGGTTTTATAAGCAAAGCGATGTTTGTTGTAAAGAAACATGGAAATCAGAGATTTGTGGGGCAGACCCAGCTGGAGAATAGGGTTGTCAGGTGAGCATTTTCCTACCTGTGTAGTTAATAGATTATAAAAATGAGGAGTTCCCAAATCAAAGCATCTCCCTTTTCAAACAATGTTCTACACACATTGCTCAAAAATTGGCCCTGTTATTCAAAAAAAAAAAAAAAAAAAAAAAAAAGTTCCCTAACGTAGAAAAACACTTTTAGGAGCTGTATCTGATAGTTTGGGGCATGTACAGGGAAAGAATATTTTTCTGAGCTTGACGTTTGCCTGCATTCCGTTAGTCATTAGTTAAATTCAGGGTGGCTCAGACCTATGACTCCCCTGGGTCTGGTTTGACAACTGAACCTTTTGTGCAACACAGGAATGAATTAGAATCTCTCTCACCATGTGTCCACTCCCGTCCCCCAAAACATCTCTGGTGAATCTTATGTTCGTGATTCTCTTTCTGGTATTTCTAGTTTAACGAGTGTGTGTACATGCACTCACATGCACCTCATTCCAGGCATAAATACCATATATTTTCCTGGTTTTAAACTTTATATAAATAATATCATACCACACATATCCTTCAACTTGTTTCTTTTGATCAGCATTGTATTTGAGATTTATCCAATTCATCCATGTTAATATATGTAGCTGTAGTTCATTTCCTGTTTGTACAATATGCCATTATATGAATATTATATAGTTCATTGATTCCTCTCTATATGTAAATGTGGGCTTCCTCCAGGTTTATTGTTGTTACATATTAGTCTGCTGTGCTATTAACAACATTACTTATGAACATTTTTGCATGTTTTGTGGTGTCCGTGGGTAAGTGTTTCACTAGGATCAAAACTTACGAATGAAAACCAAGGTTATAAAGTATACGCATCTTCAATTTTACTAGGTATTGACTCAGTCTTGGTACAAAGATGTCACACCAAGTTATATTTCTACCATCGGTGGATGAAAGTTCATATTATACTATACTGTCATCAACACTTGATATTGTCAGACTTTGATTTTTTGCCAAAAAGGTCAATATTATATGGCATTTCTCTGATTATTAATAAAAGTAGAGTATTTTTCATATTATTTTGTGGGCCAGTTGTATTTCTTTTTTGTGATTTTTTTGCCTACTTTTCTATTGAATTAATTGTCATTTTTTTATTGATTCATAAGACGGTAGTTTAGCTTTTCACTGTATTTATGATGTCTTGCCAAAGCTATTAATTTCAATGTAATCATATGTAACCACATTATCCCTTATTGTTTGTACTTTAAAATTCTCATTTAATAAAATTTTTCCTATCCCAACATGACAGAAGTATTCTCCTAATTGTCTTTTGATTTTTTTCTCATTTTTTCTTTTGCATTTAGGTCTGGAATTGACCTTATTGGTACAGTGTGAGGTCAGGATCCAATTTCATATAACTCCCTATGGATAACTAATTGTTTTGGAATATGTATTGCCCATGCTCTCCTAACTCAAGTTCCCATAGATCTTGGACCTTTATTTGAGCTCGCTATTCACTATTCTCTTATTCTGATATATTTATCTAGTTCTTAGTAGAATTAAGACATTTTCTTCTTTACCTTATAATAAGGTATCTACTGAAGTAATTCTCCCCAATATATTATTCTTCCTTTCAAATGTTTTAGCCATTTTTGTTTTTTGTTTTTGTTTTTTTTTTTTTTTAGCAGTACATGGGCCTCTCACTGTTGTGGCCTCTCCCGCTGCGGAGCGCAGGCTCTGGACGCGCAGGCTCAGTGGCCATGGCTCACGGGCCCAGCCGCTCCGCGGCATGTGGGATCTTCCCAGACCAGGGCACGAACCCGTGTCCCCTGCATCGGCAGGCGGACTCTCAACCACTGCGCCACCAGGGAAGCCCAGCCATTTTTGTCTTTTGCTCTTCATTCTAGTGTCCTTTTTTCTTTATCATTTAAAAATTTCTTATACAATTTTTAAAGGTTACTTTCCATTTACAGTTATTACAAAATACTGGCTATATTCTCTGTGTTGTACAATACATCCTTCAGCCTATCTTACACCCAATGGTTTGTACCTCCCACTCCCCCTCCCCTACATTGCCCACCCCCCACTTGTTAACTACTAGCTTGTTCTCTATATCTGTGAGTCTGCTTCTTTCCTGTTACATTCACTAGCTTATTGTATTTTTTAGATTCCACATATGATTTATCTTTCTCTGTCTGACTTATGGCAAAATTTCATTCTTTTTTATGGCTGAGTAGTATTCCATTGTGTGTGTGTGTGTGTGTGTGTGTGTATACATAAATATATATATACACACACAATACATCTTCTTTATCCATTCATCTTTTGATGAACACTTAGGTTGTTTACATGTCTTGGCAATTATAAGTTAATTCTGCTATGAACATTGGGGTGCATGTATCTTTTTGAATTAGTGTTTTGTTTTTTTTCGGATATATACCCAGGAGTAGAATTGCTTTCATATGGTAGTTCTATTTTTAGTTTTTTGAACCTCCATACTGTTTTCCACAGTGGTTGCACCAATTTACACTCCAACCAACAGTGTACAAGGGTTCCCTTTTCTCCTTGCAAGCAACTGTTATTTGTAGACATTTTGATAATAGCCATTCTGACAGGATGTGGCTACTGAGAAGCTGAATATTTTGTTTAATGTAATTTAGTTAATTTTAATTTAGTGACTTGAGACTAATGGCTACCGTGTTAGGTTGTGAAGATATAGAATAGTTCCATCAACAGAGGAAAAAGTACTGAACAATGCTGATCCAGCTAAGCTTATATTTTAATAATTTATCTGTCCACATAAAAAACTCAAACTAAAATCATACCACCTGTAAATAATTACTATTTCTTCATTTCCAAACATTATATCTTTTTCTTGACTTACTGCAATAGTTGGGGTGTTTAGTTACACAGTGAACAGAAGTGGGGATAATGTGCATGTTCGTTCTTGAAATGAAATGATTCATGTTTCACTCTGATATTATATATATAAAATGTCACACACAAACAAAATTTCCATAAGAGTGTACTTCCCATATTCAGCAACAATGAATATTGTGTTAAGCTCATTTGTTTAACCAGCATGCTTAAGCCCTTGTGAATTTTAAGCAAAGCCATGTGGTTTTAAGTGGCATTTAATGAACAAGAATTTTTGAAATACTTTTTTCTAATGGTAGCATACAAAATAAGTTAAATAGAATCAGAAAATCAAAATGCGTTTGAATTCTTATTGAAACTCTGAAATTCTGTCGACCAATCCTGTTCAATTTTGGTTCCACTTATTTATGGAGACATTTTTTTTTGATGCAACACAACGAAAGGGACATAGGCATAAAGTTTTATCAGAGATATTTTTCATGCTTAATTATGAATCCTTGAGTGCTTTATGGTTCACTGTTGGGGGGAACAAGTCAGGTTTCCAGGCAATTGGAATGGACTGATTAAAGTATAAAGAACTAACTCAGCTTCTACCTGAGGCAGAACTAGGTACTCTAGACATCACTGAAGCATTCTGCCCAAGTTTTAGAAAAATCAGTTTGTATAGGTTTAATGGGGAAAAAACAAATATTTCCAAGTTTATTTTATAATGCTTTTCTCTTTGTATGAATGTGCTTTATAGAAAAATAAAAACTGTTTTACTCTTAAATAAATGAACTTGAACAAGGGGAAATCCATCTGTAGTTGTACAGCCCCTGTTGTGTGTCTCTGTCTCACATTTTCTAAGGAAAAGCCAGGTTGGCGCTAACAAAGAAAATATCTTTGTCAGAGTTATCCTTTATAAATTCTTAAATGTACATGAAAACAAGGTGACATCTGTACACCTAAAACAACACACATAATTTTAGAAAATTTCAATTCTACAACTTATTTGCCTGCTCACCTGAACCTACTCTCATTCTCTTATCATTTTCTATTCCTTCCTATTGGGACTTAAGTGTGTTCACCTTCTGCTTCTTAAAACTTAATATAGTAACTCCAATACATTAATATTAGAATTCATATAATTAACATACTGAATCAATCATATATTATTATATAATTAGTATAATAAGAATCATGGCAGCTAAGTTGTATGACCTGAAAAAGAAGGCTAGGAAAAATCTATGCCTGGTTTAAAAAAAAAGATCTTGGATGTGTCAAAAAATTCCAATATATTCTTACTACTTCTCTCCCAGAATGCCTACAGTGGTCTGAAATACTGCCAAGGGAATCAGTTCCTCTGGTGTAATATCCATGCTATTTCTATGTATACATATTACAAAACTTATAAAATAGCACCACTAATGCTCCCGTGTTCAGCTGAAACTGGTTACAAACCACAAGTTCTTTTAGGCAGTGCTGGAATTTGCAGTAATCTGGTAGTCACAAAAGCCTATCAGAAATTCATCTTAATCGATAAACATATCATTCCATGAGAGCAAAGAATTAGCAATATAATATAAAAAAATAAATCTAGGATTGCCAGGGCAAAAAGCCCCCCTGTGACCAATCAAATAATTTACATCCATGAGGATTTTCAGTTTTCCCTGATTTTTCTGTCGATATTAAGAACAAAGCAATAAATGGTAAGCTCTAACAATTTATATATAAACCTCAAAATATTAACATTTCGTATCCTCTAACATTGGAAAATACAAGGTATAATTTTACCGATAACTGTGGTCAGATGTCATTTCAGGTTGCTTTTTAGGAAGCCAGTCCCTTGACTTCTATTTCTATCCCAGGTTTTCTGATATCAGTCAAAAGAACAGGTATGAAAAAGTATAAATATTGTTTTCTTCCCTTTAGTGGGATATGCCACCGGTGTAAACATTGACATATGCACATTTAAAATTCACAATTAGTCCAAAGAGAATTCTCTAAAATGTGATCCAACAAAATCTATAATCTTTCAACATATCCTGTTCACTGTGGCTCTGTTAATCTCTCTTGCCTATTTTACATGAGCCATAAAGTCAGTCATATTTGTTAAATTAGAAGAAATAAATTTACTTATTTTTTTAAAGTGATAATTATAAAAGTGAAAACTGCCATATAAATCCCCTTGTACCTGCATTTCCTTCCCAGTGTTTTACTTTACTTAGTACTTATAACTTCTTTTTAAGGATCACTTACTGTAAAGCAAAATAAGTTCAAATACATTGCACATAGTGAAATGACACTTAAATGCAAAAATGATTAAGACTTTACTGTTGAAAGGAATTTAAGGTATTTTTAGCAATATAATATTAAAGTATTAATCTACATGTCTTCATTTTCCAATTCTCTCAATTTCATATTTGGGTTTTTTTAAATTATTATTTATAATATTAAACTTTTTAAAAATATGTAAGGAATGAATTATGATTTTTTATTTATGTCCCTGTCTACCCTATATTTACCCCTTCCCCTATACTTAACCACTTCTAATAATTTCTTAGTATCCATTAAATATTTCTTTATGAAGATACAATGAAACATGAATATATTTACTTCCTGATTGGCCTCAGAGTGTTAAATAAGTCGCCTAGGGAGTACTAAAACTAGGAAGTTTCATAGCTGGATTCAAACTTGGGCCATCTGATTTGAAAGTCCAGATATTTAATTATTACAATATTACTGCTCCTAATGACTTGATGGATTTTTTTTCCTGTTAAAGATTTTTTTTAAGCAACCTGAGTCTTCTCTTTTTTAATTATTATGGAAAATTTTCCATTTATGCAGACATATCAGTGGCATCTAGCATCATGATTATTATACTCTAGAACAAAGGCTGTTCGCTGGTCTTCAAAGTTATACTTTTTCTTTCTTCTTCCACATTTTCAGGAGATACATTCTCAAATATTTCTTTATCAGTTTCAGAAAAGAAAAAACCTCAAACAGCTCAATACCCTGCACATGTGCTCCTCCACGGGTAGCTGATGAACCCCAGGCTCCCCTTGTGCATCTCCCTCTCATGCTACCACGGCTTACCTTTCCTTTGCTGATGATAAAGAAGGTGTCCCCTCTTGCACCTTGCCTGATGATATATTCCCCATTTTCATAGTGGGTCTAAAAAACAGAAAGAGTAACAGAAAAAAACCTTAAGAAAAAAGTAATTTACTGAACAGCTCAACCTCTTCCAATATTAGCTCCTAAGGGATGGAATCACCCTCATGGTGTTGTACCCGAGCTCAGAATCCATCATTATTTAAAAATGAATAATAGTTAGTGAACACAATAATTACAAAGAAATATATCCTCCTCACTTTAAAAACTATTTTGTTAGTGCCATTTTTCTGGGTGATTATATTCATATCTTTAAATTCATTCATTTTAATAGTTGGATGAAAATATTCTTTTCTCCCAACAACAGAGCATGAAATAAAACAGCAGAACTGATCATTAAACATGTCTTTCTATATTATCTGTCATTCTCATTTGATTTTAGTATTCCTGTAGTGAAAGGAAAAAAAAAAAAAAAAGGCTGAGAAAGTACTATGGCATGTAGCATTTTTAAAGATCTTCATTTTGAAACCAAGTTGACTTTTGGTGTGGGTTAGATGGCACTAGTTCCTTTGTAAGGCAATGCTTCAGGCTTTAATGTCCTGCTTCAGCAATTTAGGTTTTGGCCTTGTCAAACAGAATGTCTTTATTTTATGTACTGAATTCTGGTCCAGCACCTGTGAGCTCATAAACCACCAAACAAGGGGCAAAGTAAGGCAAAGTAAAGCAAGAAGATTATCACAGTCAGTGTGTCAGTATTCTGATTCGGGCACAGTGACTAGGTACATTCCCAGGGTAAAGGCTGCTCCTGCAGTGAACAAAAGTAATTTCTATAAGGAGAGGTGGGAGAAAGTATATTGCTGGGTCAGGAGGTATAACAGAAAAATGAGAACTGTGCCATTTGGCCCTATCTTTCTCAGAAGTTTAGCAAGGAAGCCATGTTTTGGGGAAGAAAACATTACTCTGTACACTCCTTAGGAAACAGATTCCATGGTCTGCAAACAATATTCACCAGGCCAATGGCTGTGATTTGTCATTATACCTCAACATTCTTAATATTTTATTCACTCTTAAAATTACCTTTCATTAATATTTCATATTAAGAATAGCCATGATTTTCTGGTAATGTAAACTGATACAACCACTATGGAGAACAGTATGCAGGTTCCTTAAAAAACTAAAAATAGAACTCCCATATGACCCAGCAATCCCACTACTGGGCATATACCCTGAGAAAACCATAATTCAAAAAGAGACATGTACCACAATGTTCACTGCAGCTCTATTTACAATAGCCAGGACATGGAAGCAACCTAAGTGTCCATCGACAGATGAATGGATAAAGATGATGTGGCACATATATACAATGGAATATTACTCAGCCATAAAAAGAAATGAATTGAGTTATTTGTAATGAGGTGGATGGACCTAGAGTCTGTCATACCTCTGTATGACAAATACCATATGCTAACACACATATATGGAATCTAAAATATAAAAGGTTCTGATGAACCTAGGGGCAGGACAGGAATAAAGGTACAGACATAGAGAATGGACTTGAGGACATGGGGAGGGGGAAGGGTAAACTGGGATGAAGTGAGACAGTGGCATTGACATATATACACTATCAAATGTAAAATAGCTAGTGGGAAGCAGCTGCATAGCACAGGGAGATCAGCTCAGTGCTTTGTGACCACCTAGAGGGGTGGGATAGGGAGGGTGGGAGGGAGGCACAAGAGGGAGGGGCTATGGGGATATATGTACATGTATAGCTGATTCACTTTCTTATACAGCAGAAACTAACACAACATTGTAAAGCAATTATACTCCAATAAAGATGTTAAAAAAAAGAATAGCCATGATTTTCTTAATATACCAAGAAAATTAACATACTATCTAATGTTACTTTTTTTCTTATCTCTAAAGTAATATATTTTCCTAATAAGCTTTTTAAGTAAAAAAGTTCCTCATTTCCCTTTCCCAATCTCAACCATTAGATGGTAAATGCAGTCTGGTGTGTATCTTTCAAGACTTTTTCCTGTGCTTTTAAACATATATATCTATGTGCATACAAACAATTATTTCTAAATAAAAATAAGATCAAATGATGCATATTCTTCAACCGACTTATTTAACAAAATATCTGTGTTCCATTTTCATACCTTGCTGCTTAGAAAGCAACAGTAGAAGGAAGCAGGTTTGAAAAACAAAATCACAATAGTCTATTTTCATATATTCATTCAAGAAACATTTCTAAGTGCCTCTGAGTCAGGCCTGGTTACAGGCACTGATGATACAAGATGAAAAAGATAAAAATCTCATGTTAGCACTGTCACGTAGAGCCTTCTTTGATAGTGTTAATGTAAACCTGCACTGTCCCATATAGGAGCCACTAGCCACATGTGGCTACAGAGCAGTTGAAATGCGGCCAGTGTGACTGAGAAACTGAATTTTTAAATGTATTTAAGTTTTAATACACACGGCTAGTAGCTATTGTATTGGATAGCACAGGTAGTAGGTAAAACTGACAAGGGAAGAGCTACAGTCTATAGCAGTAGGGGAGGGGGAAGGGTGGAGCGTCTTTCCCACTAGTGATGTTTTTTACTTTGTGAATGGAGCTCAATTAGTAAAACTCAGGACCTTTTTCTGCCCTTTTCCTCACTCTGCACCAGAGGAGACAGTGTAATTTATCTGACTGATAAATTTGGAAGTAATCTATATGCTCATCTCAGACTCTCATCACTTCCGGATGGGAGGTAGCTCCCCACAGAGGGCTGGCATTCTCTGCTACTTGTCTAGGGGAGGAATCTTCTCCCTAGCATAGTGAAGTCCCGCCCCTGTCTGGGCATCTGTGACAGGACAAGTAAGTCGGACCAAACAGCATCCAGTTTGGAAGGCTGTTTGTCTTTCACTCCTAAGCTACATTCTCTAGCCTAGAGCTTATTAGTGATGATAGTAATATTTTAGTTCCATTTATTTGCCTCCAGTTGAAAACGAATGCACCAAATCTTTCTTCTTTCTTTCTTTTTTTTTTAGACTTGAAAGAGCAATTTATTATTTCTCTTGGTACTGTATGTTAACTAGACGATTCTTTGGCTTCCCATGCTGTCGGCTGGGATAACTGCAAGGTGTAATGCCTCGCGCTTGTGAGCATTTGGTGCCGGTGCTAGCTGGGGGCACAGCTGGGACTGTCAATGTCTGCTTTTCCCCCACGGGAGCCTCTTTATGTGGCTGCCCAGTCTTCTCCATATCATGGTGGTCTGGGAGTGGGCCAACTTCTTACACGGCAGCTGGCTTCCAAGGCTGCAAAAGCAGAAGGTGTCAGGCCTTCCCAAGACCCAGGCCAGGAACAGGCCCCCTATCACTTGTGCTGCATTCAGTGGGTTCAAGCAGGTCCCTGGCCCAATCCAGGCACAAGGGGAAGGGACTGCACAAACATGTGAACCCCAGGAGATGTGGTGCATCGAGGGCTGCCAAAACACAGCCTGGCACACACCTCAAACTTCAAGTGTATAGAACGGAGCTCCTGGCATCCTTTTTCTAGTCCTGTTTCTCCGCCTTCCCAGTATTAGCAACACCAGCTCCATCTTTCCAGGTGTTTGGGCTAAACACCTTGAAGTCATCTTTAACTCTTCTTTCTCACAGCTCTATCCACAACTGCTCTGTTGGCAAGCTGGCTGCTCCACATTTCAGAGAATGCCCAGAACTCAACCACACCTCACGTCTGCTGCTATGGCCACCATCTTTTCTTGCCCAGTCCAAGCAGTCACCTTCTATCTGGAATCCCTGCTCCTGCCTGGCCCTTCAGTGCTTTCCCCACATAGCAGCCAGGCAATTCTGTTAACACACAATCAGTGCCTGTCCCTTCTCTGCTCACACCCCTGCAGGGGCCCCTAATGCACAAGTACAGGGTCCTATAGTGACTTTCAGTGCACTAACAGCTTCTGTCCTTTTGCTTCACTGACCTCACCTTCCACCCCTCTTCCTCATTATGTCTGTTCTGTTCACACCACTTCCCTTGATATTCCTTGAACATTCAGGCCCAGGCCCACCTCAGGGCCTTTGCACAGGCTCCTCCCTCTGCCTGCAATGTGCCTACACACCAAATATCTATGATTCCTTCCTGTCTTTACTCAAGTGTCACTTGAGTAAAGTCACTGAGACCTATCCCAGCCTGCCTTTTAAATCTGTTCCTCTCCGCTGTACTTGTGACCCTCCTTGAATTAATTTTCTATGTAGCACTTACCATCAACATCTGTCAGGGTTCGGGCAGAAGAGACTGCGCCCTTGGGAGAGGGAGGAGATGAAAGAAGGATGAATGATGGGAGTGTGGGCAGGATTAGAGGATCGAGGAGTGTTGGAGGTAAAGTGTCAGGGAGCAGGATTGCTGGACCCTGTTCAGAGGTGGAGCCATGTGACATATAAGCTCAACAGGAGCTGGAACTGTGGCTTCTGATAAGGAACATCCACTGCCAAACCCCTTGCCTGGTTTGGAGGGAGCAGAGGAAGAAATACTCTGACTTCTCTCTTCTCCACCCTCTGGTCTCCTGCTGGGGCACCCCTTGGCTGAACTCAGCTGGAAGTCATGAGACAAGGGAGACTTCCCATTCAGGTCAGCTTCTGGGCAGAGAGAAGTGCCAGGAAGAGTGAAATGTTTCAGCCCCATGTTAAACATATCATTCATTTAATCACTTGTCAGCTGTCTCCTCCACGAATGTCAGCCCTATGGGGGATTTTTATGTTGTTCCCTGCTGTGCCCCTTGCAGCTATAAGAATGCCTAGCTGTGAACTAAATACTTATTGAAAAAATGGTTTAAATTATAAGGGTATTTAGTCTCTCATGTAAAAAAAGAGTCTGGAAATTAAGCAATTTCAGGGCTGGTCAATTTGTTGGTACAACAAATCCTCCAAACAGTCAACTTCTTTCTCTCTTTCAGTTATTCTCACTGGATGGGTCCTTATGGTCCCCAAGATGACTGCCACTGCTCCAGTCATCACAGCTGGGTCAAAAGGAAAAAAGACAAATGTCTCATCTTACCATTTCTTCTAGGGAAAAAAATCCCAGA